GGGGACCTAACCATGAGGAGACCAACCCTTCATGGAAATGAGTTTGTCTCAGCAGAGCACATACTACAAGCAGCTCTGGAAGATGGACCCATAGGGTTCATGCTGTTGGAGGAGCCACCATCATCACTCCCAGCCTTTGGTTTTGTACCTACAGGTGCAGACAAAGGAGTCGAGATGGAGGTGGAGGTAGACAAGGTGGTGACGGCTGCAGACATACCAAAGCCATACCAACACCTGCGAGATGTGTTCAATGAGGTGGAAGCAGACAAGCTGCCCCATCATACCGAGCATGATCTCCACCTCGAGTTGATAGAAGGAGGTAAGCCACCTCAAGGGCCCCTATACCTTAAGGGACCCAAGGAGATGTCCGAGTTGAGGAGGTACTTGGATGAGAACCTCGAGAAGGGGTTCATAAGACCATCGAAGAGCCCAGCACGATCACCAGTGCTCTTCGTACCAAAGAAGGATGGAGGTCTCAGACTCTGTGTGGACTACTGAGGTCTCAACGAGATCACTGTCAAGAACAGGGCACCATTGCCCCTCATCGAGGAGCAGCTGTTCTTACTCAGGAAGGCAAGGATCTATACCAAGCTAGACCTTAGAGCAGCATACAACCTCATCCGGATTGCTAAAGGAGATGAATGGAAGACAGCTTTTGGCACTCAGTTGGGACTCTATGAGTACCTAGTGATGCCCTTTGGCCTAGCCAATGCTCTGGCTCACTTCCAGTCATTCATCAATGACATCTTCTGAGACATCATTGGGATATATGTGGTAGTATACCTAGATGACTTCCTGATCTTCAGTGACACTGAAGAAGCACATGTGAAGCATGTCACCAAGGTCCTCACTCACTTAAGGAGCAACAGGCTCTTTGCTAAGCTGTTGAAGTGTGAGTTCCACACCAAGACAGTCAAGTTCCTGGGGTACATCATCAAGCCGACAGGCATAGAGATGGACCCAGAAAAGGTGCGCACTGTCAAGGAGTGGCCAATGCCAGAGTCAATCCATGACATCCAGAGGTTCCTGGGTTTTGCCAACTTCTATCGAAGGTTCATAGCCCACTTTGCTCACATAGCCAAGCCCTTGACAGCACTGGTAAAGCCTATAGAACGGTTCAAGAAGTTCGAGCTACCAGAGGAGGCCCAACAGGCCTTCCACAAGCTCATCCAGGCCTTCACATCAGCAGGAGTGCTTCAGCACTTCGACTACCACCTTCCAACAAGGTTGGAGACTGATGCAAGTGACTTTGCTATAGCAGGAGTGCTCAAGCAGGAGCATGAAGGACGATGGCATCCAGTGGCCTTCTACTCTAGGAAAATGTCTTCTGCCGAGAAGAACTATGAAATCCATGACAAGGAGCTCCTAGCTGTGGTTGCCTGCCTTACTCAGTGGCGACACATGCTAGCTGGACTACTGAACCAACTGGTCATCCTCACTGACCATGAAGCCCTCAAGTACTTCAAGTCACAGAGACGCATCACAGGTCGACAGGCTCGATGGGCCATAGCTTGGCACAATCAATATCAATGCATAGGTTATGATGACACCAAGGTCTGGTGTGAGTGTTGATGATGATGAGGTTGATGGTGTCAGTGATAAGGTTGGTGAGTGTTGATGGTAATGAGGTTGGTGGTGTGGGTGATAAGGTTGGTGGCATCAACACGAGTGTCCAGTGTGTTGACTTGATGCTTGAAGTGATCCCTGGACCGCAGTGGACTACTGCCTTTGGTTCTATCTTGATCCGGACCGCTAACCTGCTATGGGTGCCTTCGGACATCAGGTAGTGGTGATACAACACACACACTACGATGAGGAGCAACCTTTGATGGATTGCTGCTATGCTGACTGAAACTAATATATACTTATGTTGAAGTGATAACTAGTTATGGTGAGTAGAGTGGATGAGGATCCACTCGACCTATGATGATGAGAAAGCATGGTTATATACCTCTTCACAGCATCGCCAGCGATGCTGCTCCTGCTCTCTCTCCAGAGAGTGCCCTCTTCATCGAGTACTGCTCAGGGGCCTCTCCTGCTTGGCACCCCTGTGCCTCTTAAGTGGTGTCAACTCCTTCGACACTGCTCCTCCTCCTCATGACCTGGTGTCGACTCCCTCGACACTGCTCCTCTTCCTCAGGACCTGCTTGCCAGTGTCCTAGGACTCTTGTCTCTCGAGCCCCTGAGTGGTAACCATCTGAGCTTGGTCCTCTTCGTGGCTGTGCCTGCTCCTTGAGCTTGGTCCTCCTCGTGGCTGTTCCTGGCCCTCCTCACATGTGGCTCAGTTCTCCTTTGCATGTGAGTCCATAGGGGTCCATGGTCTCCATGGAGACTGCACTACGACCATGCTCTCTACTGGTATCGACTAGGTCTTCGATACCTGTGCTCCTTCCATATGAACCCATGACCCTCCTGCTTCTTGAGCATCCAGGCCCATGACAGTCAGTCGAAATCTGTCACAACATCAATACAACTACAGATTCCAATGAGAAAAGTGGCAGAGACGGTTCTGTCGCATATTACACTAGGAATTGTAATACCACTAGCACTGTTGCATAACTCGACAGAATCAGTGACAGTACTGATACTACTACTGATCTCAGGTTTCAGGCACGCGACCGCTGACATTGACCCACACCCAAGTTAGATACCCGGTTTGCAGGACCCTACCCAGTTCAGGAACGAGTAGGACGCCGAGCTTATCGAATCACATTGCCAGCAAACCTCAGGGTGCATGATGTGTTCCATGTCTCCATGCTCGAACCAACAAGAACAAGTTCTCTTCCTCAATGAGCTGAGCAGCCCACCATACCACCACTCCCAGATGAGGACCTCGACTTCGAAGTCAAAGCACTCATCAACAAGCATTCACACAATGGGATGACAGAGTACAAAGTGTTATGGAGAGGGTACTCAGAAGAAGCTGCTTCATGGGAACCAGTAGAGAACCTCAACTGCCCCGACCTCATCCAGGAGTATGAGGTGTCAGAGGGGGGACGAGTGAGTAGACAAAGTAGAGAGAGGAGGAGAGGACAGGAGGAGTAGAGAGAGGAGGAGGAAGGAGGATGACGTCGAGAGAAGGAGGAAGGGTGATGTTGGTGATGTTGTCGAGGAGGAGGAGGAGGAGGAGTCAGCATGAACCAGACCAGAGCATGCCTCGACGGAGCTCGGCTCTTAAGAGGGGGGTAGTGTCATGGGCCTAGATGCTCAAGAAGCAGGAGGGTCACTGGTTCATATGGAAGGAGCACAGGTATCGAAGTTCTAGTCGATACCAGTAGAGAGCATGGTCATAGTGCAGTCTCCATGGAGACCATGGACCCCTATGGACTCACATGCAAAGGAGAACTGAGCCACATGCGAGGAGGGCCAGGCACAGCCACGAGGAGGACCAAGCTCAAGGAGCAGGCACAGCCACGAAGAGGACCAAGCTCAGATGGTTACCACTCAGGGGCTCGAGAGACAAGAGTCCTAGGACACTGGCAAGCAGGTCCTGAGGAAGAGGAGCAGTGTCGAAGGAGTTGACACTACTCAGGAGGCACAGGGGTGCCAAGCAAGCAGGATAGCAAGGAGGAGGAGCAGTGTCGAAGGAGTCGACACGAAGGAGTCGACACAGCTCAAGAGGCACAGGGGTGCCAAGCAGGAGAGGCCCCTGAGCAGTACTCGATGAAGAAGGTACTCTCTGGAGAGAGAGCAGGAGCAGCATCGCTGGCGATGCTGAGAAGAGGTATATAACCATGCTTTCTCATCATCAAAGGTCGAGTGGATCCTCATCCACTCTCTACACACATCATAACTAGTTATCACTTCAGCATAAGTATATATTAGTTTCAGTCAGCATAGTAGCAATCTATCAAGGTTGCTCCTCATTGTAGTGCATGTGTTGTATCACCACTACCTGATGTCTGAAGGCAGTTCATAGCAAACCAGCAGTCCAGATATAGATAGAACTGAAGGCAGTAGTCCACTGCAGTCCAGGGATCACTTCAAGCATCAAGTCAACACACTGGACACTCGTGTTGATGCCACCAACCTTATCACCCACACCACCAACCTCATTACCATCAACACTCACCAACCTTATCACTGACACCATCAACCTCATCATCATCAACACTCACACCAGACCTTGGTGTCATCATAACCTATGCATTGATATTGATTGTGCCAAGCTACCCCTGAATGGAGTGTCCACAGAGGTCAGCTGAAACCTATGATAGTATATACAATGAATGCCACCTGCTGTCATCACACAACTTGATAGTTGCTGAGCAACTAACTCGTTGAGACTGATACTGAGACAATAGCTGTCACACAGTTTGATAGTCACCAAGTACCTCGACAGACCAACCTGGGTTTCAGGCGCGAGACCCCTGACAATGGGCTCCCAGATGGCCCAGTTGTTCTCATTGAGCTTGACAATTTGCGAGATGATGCTGAGTACTGACTTGGGGATCTTTTCTGCTTGGCTGGTATTAGGTTGAAGGTTCATTATGGAGAAGGCATGCTCCAAGATTTGGTCTTCATTCCAATTGGCATGAGTTTCCCTGATCATCTGCATGGTGCATTCGAGCAGGGCTATGCTGTCTACCCTTGGTGGCATGCTGATTGCATTCAGTTGCTGGCTGCAGAGTGCTAGAAGCTGCTGAGCTTCAGACTCTTAATCAGTTGAGGTGTTCAAGATTGCTGCTATTATGATGTTCTAAGTACAAGTTTGAATCCGGAGGTCTTCAAGTCTTTTGCCACTTGTGCATGAGCGCAACCATTGCAAAAAATTTCATTGGCCGGAATTCCTACTCTGTTACGTTTTCCTCAACCGACAGTTTACGCGCGAGCTGTATATTTTCGTTTTTTTGACTCTCGAAAGGATCTCATTCAAGAATCCCACTTCTGCGCCCAACCTTTCCTCTCATCTTTACATCACCAGCCCTCCCGCTTCGAACATACGGGCTTTCTCTCCTAATACAGAGACTGCTTGAGCATCGAGATCGTGGACTATCGCCATGACCCACAATCGCAAACGCGCAGGCTCAGATGCAGCCTCCTCGGCTCATCACTCCTCCGACGCTTCAGAGGATGAGCATGTCGCCAACGATCAGGCTGAGGCTGTAGCCGCAGCGTCGATGCCCAACAAGGACTTTGTTCCATTCACAGATGGTGCTGAGCTCCACCAAGTACTCAAAACACCCTCTGCCGATCTCTTGCGTCTTCTCCTTTCCCGCCTCCGCAACCAAACCAGTCTCTCTTTCGTCGAAAACACACAACGTTCCACCATCCCTGCGAGCGACAAGCGCATTCAGCTGGTTAAGGACTACTGCCTGCTATGCGAGACGCAAGCATCTAATTATGGCTCACCGTCCTCAGCAGCTGCTTCCATCTTCTCTACTTGGGAGCTCGCTGATCGTCAGGACCTTTCAACATTGTTGCATCTGCCCATCTTCTGTTTAGCCCAATCGCTGGCTCTTCTTTCCATTCACTATCCTACACATCCGCTAGGCTCCAACATTGTCGAGCGTATTCTGAATTCTAATGAGCCATGGCTGGCAATGCTGCACGACTACATCTCCAACCTCGGTGGCGCCAAGTTTGCAACCAAGCAGCGCAACCCTCGTACCTCGAAGATCTCAGATGTGGTCCCTCTCGCTTCACTTGTCCTTCTTCGCGAGATCACCACATTCGCCAAGGGTCGCTATGCTTCCAAGCTCTTTGACTCTTTCAACTGGTCCATGGGGGTCTTGCCTCACCTCTTCAACATGCGCAGGAGAGTCAACCGCAAATCCAAGACATCCAAAAAGGCGCAGGCTGCTCAAGATGTGTCGCTTCGACGACCCGATATTCGCACTCTCTACATCCTCTTCCTTCTTTCCTTCTTGCAGCAGAGCTACTCGCATACACTCAAGCTCCGACTCCTCGATCTTGGACGTGACTTCTTGCCAGGCATTCTCAAAGGTCTGCCTCAGGATCCGCCCGATGTCGTCCAGACCGTCCTGCTCCACCTTCACGAAGACCTTGTCAAGGACCAAAGGATCCCACGCAGCAAGAAAGTCGAGTTTTGGAATGAGTGGGCATGTGGCTGTGTCGTCCAGCTCTATGCACGCGAACAGGAGCACGTCCTCATCCACGCTGACTCCGACGCAGTCGAGAATCCTTCGGTAGCCGAGCTTGCTCACCACTTTCTCCTCAGCATCTGCACGAACCCAGGCTTCGGTATCTGTTACCCAGATCGTGGCTGGTTCCCACGCAAAGCCTCGAGCAAGGGAGATGGCGCCCATACCGCGAATGCAACTCAGAGTGACGCACTCATCGACGGCGTTGATCGTCTCGACTTCTCTCCAGAACCCACTTCCGTACAGAAGGGTAAGCAGAGCAGCATTGCTGGCGGCTCGATCTACAACAAGGTTTTGTCGGGTGTCCTGCGTCAGCTTGGTGTCGCCGAAGATCTCCGACAGCAAGAGTTGGCCCTCAGCATCCTCACTGCTTGCCCCGAGCTTGTTGGTCCTTATCTCGAAAGCTCCTGTGCAGGTCTAAGCGTCGATCCAAGGCCAAGCTCTCGTTGGCTATGCAATGTTGCCTTCTTCGGTCGAGTAGTCGGGCTCGAGCTTCCTTCCTTCCGCAACGCCAAAGTCGAACACCTCGAGAATGCCGACGATGCGTCAGCTGGTGCGCTGACACCACAAGCCCATCGCATGTTCGCCTCGGAGCCACCTCCGATGTCGAGCATCCTTGCCAACATTTTTCCCGGCCCGCTGCACCGCTTCCTTTTCAGTCAAGGTCTCAACAGTTCCGATCGTCTGGTGCGTTACTCGACGTGTGCACTTCTGTGCCGTTGTCTGGATCGCATGGTCCGCTTCCGCAATGTCTGCCTCGACGCCATCACAGAGCTCGATGAAGACGAAAATGGACCTTGGCGTAAACGTCTAGATGCGCTCGAGATGGAAGCACGACGCCGCATTCCTGATATCTCGATCGTTATTCAGATCTTGCAAGTTGCCACGTCTCGTTCCAATGCGAATTGCAACTCGACTGCGATAGACACGGAAGACGATGCCACTAACGGTGCAAATGACGACGTTGTGGAGAAGAAGGACATGCTATCGACTGAAGTCGCACTTCGCCTTCTCTCCCTGTACTATCAGGCAGTGCCCAGTTCAGCGTTCGACGTGCGCTTCAACGCCGGTAAGCTGCTTACCAATGCATTCAATCAGTCTTCGCGTCCCTCTGCAAGTCACGAACAAGGCCGGGGTGCAGACATGACCAATGACACCGCTGCTCAGAGTGAGGATGACAGCGACGGTGAGAATGAAGGCGAAGACAACGGCGAGATCAACTTAGAAGCACTTTGCCAGGTGCACACCTTGCGCATCCTGTCGCACTCTGCGCGGGCCACCTCCTTCGACTGGACTGCCAAACCGAGCGGCTCTGGCAACAACCTCAGCTACCTCGGCATGCTCCTCTCCCTCTTCATCTTGACACCTCTGCAACAAGTTAAGCAAGCATGTTCGGACCTTCTTCACTCGCTCCTCGCGCCCTCTGCGCTCTTTGAGCATCATCCCGCTGAGATCGAGGCGTGGCTTGCCAGCCTTCCGCAAGCAGACACCCGGATGGTTGTCCCTGGAGAGGATGCAAACAGCTCCATTGCAAGTCAGCGGCTTTCCGACGAACAGCAGGCAGTCATTACATTTCTGGACGAGTGCATGCTCCGGTGCATCAAGACACCGTATCGCTACATCGAGAGCGCACGTCAATACCTGCAGAAACACGGCAAATTCACGCATTATGACGGCTCTGACGGCGTGTCTGATGACGAGCTTGCCTCTGCCAACCTGATGGCCTCGCCGTGGCTCATGGCTTTGGTCGAGCAATTCACCGTTCGTTTAGAAAAAGGTTTATTCCCGACCCAGACAGTTACAGTGGACGCACTGCTGGCATTCTTCGTCCGCTTACTACCGACGCTCTGTGCTTACTCTTGCCAGACCAGGGTGTTCGACCAACTTGTGTGGGACATGGACAATTGCTGTTTCGACAAACAAAACAGCAAATATTATAAACGTCTCCTCTCGCTGTTAGACAACAAGATGTTAGGTTTCAGGTACCCTAACGTGCGTATCGACGAAGAACAGAAAGTGTCACATTCTTCGAGTCGAAGCGACTCGACCTCGTTCAGTGGTGAGTACTCTTTTTTGGTCTGACTTCTTCTACTCTGTCCTCTCTCAAGGACGCAGATAAAGGTTCTCGTGTCGAATGGGATGATTAGAATCTCCCAATTATCAGAACCGCTACACCAAAGGTACATTCTCCAGCTTGATTGCTGGAGCGATGGCTTGCCGATAATTCTGAAGTCGTCCTTCTTTTGTATCACCGAAGTTGTGGCGTCCTGACCATTCGACACGAGGCTCAAACCTTGTCGACTTGAAGTATTTCACATGAAAATGCGCTAACCTCTGATCCTTCCTTGTATTACACACAATGTTCTTGCTCCCGACAGATTGCACAACCCCCGCTGACCTCAAGGAGCGTTTGCGAGCTCTCGATTCTGATGAAACTCTTCGCCCTTCCGAGGTCCGCGAGGTGTACATGACGGTGCGGAAACTGCACTCGAATGGCTATTCGTGCGTGTCGCAGATTCTCGAGGAGCTCGAGCCTCGTGAAGAGAACATCGCGGCCGCTGTGTTTCCGGGGTCAAAGGAGCTTGCTTACGGCAGTATTCCGATCTTCCACTTTCCGCATGGAGCAAGATTCGTTGCCTCTACCCAAAGCGACTTCATTACGACGTCACAGTCACTTCACGCGCCTGCCGAAACCACAATAGTGCCTTGGAAAGCTAAAGATCAGGTCCGTATCGCTCTCTGGAAGGCCTTCTCACGCTCCAGGATAAGTACCATAAAAAGTCTTTCAGAGCATTTGGACCCGTACATCGCGCTTGCTGATGTCTCAGGATCTCTCTCTTACGACGACATCAAGCATTTTCTCTTCGTCGAGGCCGTATCGACTATGACCGAGGGTCGGCATTGGTCTAAGAGCTCGAACCCGATCATGCTCCAGGTAAGCGACCTTGCCTTTCGACACTTGGATCCTCGGCGAAAGGACCACGTGAAGATGGCAGCAACAGTCTTACAGAAGATCGAGAATATGGCGGGCTACGATTATTTCATGTGCATGGCCAAGCTAGTACCTTTCATGAACGAACAGGACGCCGTCAAGGTGATCGAAAGATGCGCCAGCACTATCAAGAGCCGATTGCAAAGTAGCAAGCCGTATCTTTTATCCACAGAGCTTCTTTACATCCTTCTCGCCGCTCATGGCTCGTCTTCCCAGGTCTGGAACATCATGGCATCGCAGCTAGACAGCGTTCTCGATGCAGTCGCACGCAAAGGATTCCCAAAAAGCTGCAAAACGCCAGATGGCCACTGTTGCGAAGATATGCTTTGCGCAATTATTCAGTCCGTCCTGCAACAAGCCCCGCATCGTGCCAACACGGAGCTTCATAGCAAGTTCGCCAAGCTTCACCTAAGCAAAATCGTTTATGCAAGAGCCACTGCTCAGGCCAAAGACGGCGCATTGGTAGCAGCTATGCACGCAGATCCTGCACTTGCACTGTCCGTCTCCGAGTCGATGCTTTCCGTCTTGGCTGCACCTCAGGAACATCGTCCTGTTCAAGCACTGCCTTGCACGTACCTCACGCTCCTCTCCGCTTTGCTGGAGGCAGGATCGCCCCAGCTGGCTGGCCAAGTTTGGAAAGAGTCCCACCTCGAACTCATTGTTAGACTTGGAGTCTTTGCTATCCTCAAGACGCCGGAGAGCTGGAATGGGAGCATGCAGCACGCAGCGTACCTGGTGATGGCGCTGCGATGTGCGTCCAAGTTCGGCTGGACCGAGACACAGTCGCAGGTCGCCGGTAGTCTTCTGAAGTTCGTGAAAAAGGCGCTCGGAGGATCGCATAAGGAGGCTTTCCGAGCCTCGCTGTTGCAGACTTTGCTTGGATTGGTCGAAGAGGTGCCCGAACTGCCTCGCTTATCCGAGATCCTCCAAGCGACATTCGATTGCGCGTTGCTATGGCTCGTTCGTCGATTTGCGGAGGATAGCAATGATTCGATCGAGCTGGTGCAGACGATCTCGATCTTTACTTCGCTTGTTGAGCGTGTCAGCGAGAACGCGAAGCTCAAGGTGCAGCTGAAGAAGTCGCTCGTCGACCCTGTCATTCAGGCAGCCATCAAGAATCGACTTCGAGCTCTCGACCAGATGCAGCTTCTTCTCGCACTTTGCAGTCATGCCGATCTGGCAGCGAGCCATCTTTCTCGCTACCTCGGAGCCATTTCTGCCCACGCTGACTTTAATACCGTCATGCGAGGCAATGCTACGATTCAGCGACCCCTGCATGCGGATGAGGATGCGGACGAGGAGCAAGATCTAGATTCGCTCAGCGAAGAGGAGAAGCGTACTAAGTCGGAGGAGCTCAAGCAGCTCATGGTTGAGCTGGTCTACACCGTCGCCAGTCGTGACGCCAAGTCTTTGCTGCGAGCTCCATTGCTGACAAAATTGATGTCGTTCTACGACGCCAGCCTTGCAAAGAACGATCGAATGCTCCTGTCGTTGTTCAGGAAGTTCGAGGAAGAGTGCGGACACTCCTTCGCATCCCTTGTGCAGGAGTGGACGTTGCCGTCGTCGCAGCAAGGTGACAGCACGGGCGGTGCAGAGCAAGAGAACACGCTCGAGGCGCTGCAGTCGCTTGATGCTAACACCGTCTTCGCAACTTGCACCGAGTACCCTCGATCGCTGCCTTCGCGCAACACCATCGCATCAGGCTACGAAAGCGCAGATGAGGACAATGTGTTGCCAGGCCAAGTATACGGCCGTCACACCGATGCAGCTCAGCGATACGACCCTGTCTTCCTCTCTTCACTCCTTGCTGGTGTCACCGCGCCAGGAATTAAGCTCACTGGGTTGCAGTGGCTAAGCGTGTTTTCAACTAACGTGCCCGGTTTGGTTGTTTGTGGACTGTCGTCGCGCTGCCCCGACATGCGAAGTGCGTGTCTCACCCTCATCTCGAACCTCTATCTGGCAGTTCGAGAAGCAGACTTCCAAGAGAAAGACCACCTCATCATGGTCCTCGATCTCTTCCGCGACGCTCTTGATTCTGCTGCGACCTTGGAAGACTCGAACACGCCTTCATCTTCACCCTTCCTGCCAACCACCACCACACTCTTCATCGCTCATGCCTTACGCTCGGTCGCGACACCAGGATCATTCATCTATCCCGTCATCTCTCACTTCTTGCTCCAACGACCCGAGCTTGATGTCGGCGATGTGCCACTGCTCTACAACTTGCTCTACGCTGCATCGGACAAGTACAAGCAGGAACGAATGTGGATGCTTCGTTTCCTCCGCGATGTGGCACGATCGGGAGGTAGGAACGATTGGAAGATCTTCAAACGCAGACGCACGTGGGAGTTGTTAGCGTCGCTATACGATGCATGTGATGTCGGAGCAGCAGGGATCAGCGCTTGGCGGGCGGTCGAGGAAGCAGCTATGCGGGCTTTGATTGAGGATACGACTGCTTGGTTGATGCGGAATGGAGATGTGGCGATCGAATTGGTGACCAGGAGAGGATTGTTGACGTGGGTTTGGCAGCAAGTTGTGAAGGAAGGGGTGATGGCCATTGCTGAAGACGGTCGGTTTGCGAAAGGGCAAAGTGAACAGAAGGGTGCGGAAGCTGAGACACGCTCACCAGTAGCTACACTCCGCAGCTTATGGATCCTTCTGCTCGCTCAATTAGTCCGCAGCGTTGACCTTGACCGTCTACATCGAGCCACAGAAGGAGCTTGGCTAAGTACCCTTACTACACTCCTACAAACGACCATTTATGCCTTGCACAATTGCGTCACCAACACAGCTTCTCCCAGGCTGCCTTCTGTCTCTGCAGAGTTGACACGCACGATCACGAACGCAGCCACAGTTGTACTGGATAAGATGATGCTCTTCGCCGATGACCCAGCCATGACCATTCATCGGGGCGACATCAACGAGATCCTCAAAAAAGTCCTGGATCTCACCGAACATCACAACAAGGCAGAACAGATGCAACACAGCGCGGTCAGAATCCAACAATCTATCCTCAACCTAGCCGCTGCATCAGGTTCAGCAGACACTGACAGTGCATTGGCAAAACTCCTCCGTCGATCCACAGCGCTGTGCAGATTGGTTGATGTCAAGGCGTCTTCTCTTGCCATATCTAATCTCTTTTCCGCCTCGGGCTAAGCAAATCGTAATCAAAAGTTTCTTTCTTGTTCACCTTTCATGCGTGTGTGCGTGTCTAGCCAAGAAAAAGGCAAAACAAAGTCATCAAACCTCTTGCCCGCCTCGCCTGCATCCTTCGAACTGATCCTATGATACGTTCTAATCCTCCTCCCCCATTCTTCTAACACAATCACCCTAGCCCTCCGCTCCACCTTGGCATTCCCGTATCCAGCAAGTGACGAACCGCCACCAAAACAAATCCAAACATTATTCACCCTTCTACAGTCCGAATTCAGATGCATATGACCATGAACAACTAACTTCACCCCTGCAATGTTTCCGGCCCCTCCTACGTCGGGGAGTGCATGAGTGTTTAGTTGGGTAAAAAGGTCAAATATACCAGGTTGAGATTGAGCTCCTTCGAAGGTTGCTGTTTCTTTCCTATCTCCTACTGCCATTGTTGTGCGGGAGATGGAGGTGTTGGTTGGGTTTGAAACAGAGAGTGGTGAAGGGGAGGTATCGACGGGATTGAATGCTTCGGGGATGGGGATGTGCATGAATACGATTGATGGTGGTCTGGCGAGCGCTTGATTTTGGTCTGCTGCTGCGTCCCATGTAACATCCCTCCTCGAGCTATCTCCGGTTGCATCGGATAGTTGTCGTGCTGATGCACGTCTCGCTCGCTTCCAGTTCTGTTGTGGAAGATCCTTCGCCCCATCCGGCTTATAAGGTAGCAAAACTTGTTTGATATCGGTGTAATGCTTTTCGAACCACTCGATTTGATCTTTATGCACATAACCATAACCTGGCTTTGTCCATGGCTTCCATTTGTCCCTCTCTGCCCGTGCACCTGTATCCATGAACCATAGACTTGCTACGTGGGTTCTATCTTCCCTCCCGCTCTCTATTTTGAGCAGATAATTGCCCTCCCCTGTGACCATGGCCGGCCCAACTTGGCTATAGGAGTACGGCATTTGGGAGATGATCTGCATCTGTTCCCCACGTGTCAGCGGTCCAGATTCGCTGTCGTGGTTGCCAAGAATGACCGCGTATGGGATCTTGCGCGCAATAAGTGGTGCGGTGTAGAGGGATAGCACCGAACGAGGGTCCCATGAAGTTCCTTGACCATTAAGCTGATCTCCTGTAAGCACCACCAAGTCGGGTTTCTCCGTATCGAGCCAATTGTCGATGAGAGAAAACGTATCGTTCTTTGACAAACATCCGCGAGTTGCCCACCGAGGATCTTTCGGGTTATAATCTCTGCATGGTTCTGGATTGACGGAAAAGTGTAAATCCGCCAGTTGGAGGATTTTAAATGACCCATCTTGCTTGAACTTCAACGGTGATAGGGGTGGCTTCCTCATCGGGTTCCGACGAAAGGAGAGGCTGACTTGAGTAGCACCTATGGAGCTATGTTCCTGGCTCACTAACCCCGCTGACTCGAACCCTGGCCAGAGTGGGTTATCTCCGTATACCAGATCCAGCTCTGTAATTGCCTCTGCTGCCTTCCTCTTCCACAGTCCCGAGCTCTGTGCCTGCCTCTGCGCGGGAGAAACGGTACGATAGTAGAGATGTAGAGCTTTTTCACCACTTATTAACCTCACCGTCTTCGAACGCAGACCCTTTTTGATGCGATGCCACCCTTCATCGCCGCCTGGTGTCGGAGGTGTTTCTCCCTCCTCGACCAATTTGAGTTCCACTACATTCTGCACGTCTCGCCGTCTAGATCTTCTATAAAAGATGTACCGTTGTTCAATACTCCCAAATAAATTCCCCAACATACCCCCCGCACTGGCACCGTACTGTCCAGTTGGACTCAAACTTCGATCCACCTTCACCCACTTCCCTAGCAGTGCATCTTCCGCAGGTGTAGTCTTAGGGGAGCATGATGCGATGGGAAGACAAGAGTGGACTGTGATCTCGGTAAGCGGGGAAGGGTTGGGGAGGAGAGGCGCGTAGAAGTCGAGTGGGAAGATGTCGTCGTATTGCTCTGAGGCGGGCGAAGTCGAGGTGACTGAGGACTGAGGAGAGGAGGAGGTAGAGGGGGAGGAGGATTTGCGGAGATCGATAGATGTATATGCTTGCCAGCCAATGATGCGGGAGTTGGAGAGAACGGTGTCGTGAGCAAGATAGAAGACGAAGGTTAGGAGGAGGGTGAAGCTGGCGGTAAGGAGGAGGGGTTTAGCTATTTTACGTCGCATTGTTGCGGGTGGCTGGGCAGGATAAGGAAACTGATAATTCTATGGTGTTGGTAATGAGAATGGAGCAAGCGAGGGAGGTAGCTAGCTAGTAGGATGGTCAGATGTCGGTGGAGAGGAAGAAGATGTATGCACAAAGAAACGTCAATCAAATAAGGCCCTGCATGTGTGGGAGTCGCCGAAATCCCATGTGTCAGATCCTGTCTAGACAACATCTTTTCAACCTTTTTCTCTATCAAGATTAGAAATATCGCCAGTTGTGTTGCCATGTGTTGCCATCGGCGATCTACTGGCTTCGGCAGATGGTGGCCGAACTAGCTGCAACTCAACGGCATGGAAGCAAATGCTTGGCGCTTTGATGGTCCGGAACATGGAATGTACCACTTCGACCTACTCTTCACATTGCCAACAGATGCTTCGGCTGCACCTCGACGATCGAACAATCTGTCGCAGCACAACAGCCAGCCAAGAAAAGCTCGGTTGTGCAAGGTCAGATTTGCATTGCAGAAGGTGCAACCGTGCGGTCGTTATCACGAGGTAGAGAAGAGGTCCAAGCATTCCACCATGAGGAGGATTTTGTTCTTGGTTGCTGCTAGCTTCGCTTGGCTTTGGAGAATTTCAGGAACGTTTTCAGCTCCATTGTGTTAGGTGTGGTTCGTCGAAAGCGTCAACTTGCATCGCTGGCCGTTGACACTTGGTATCAGACAGTGGTACAAGCGCGGGCGTAACATGTTGTAACAACAGCAGCATGCGCCTTGGCCTGAACTTGGCGACAAAGGAAAGGGAAGCTTCCAGCACAGTCAGGAACCACCTTCACGACACGCATAGCGACGGACAGAACGGCACCACGCAGCCGAAAAGGTCATTCTCGGCAGAAGCTCTTGCATCCATCCGAGTCCGCAAGAGACTTGGATCCGAGCAAGCAGTCATACATGTCCTCGCAGCCACTACACAAGGTGGCGCTATAAAGGACCCTGGTGAAGAGGGGGACGAACACGTCGCGCTGGCAAACAGAAACCCTTTTGTTCACAGTCCTTGGCGCGGTGTAAAAAACGCGCTGTATTGCAAGCGAAACATGCACATTTCAACAGCTGCCAAAACGCGATGGGAGATTTTTGCAACTTCGAGGTATGAAGCTTCCCAGCTCGGTGGTCGACTGAAACTCTTGCCCCCCTTCGATCATTCGGCTTTCTTGCTCTGGACACATCGACCGACAGGTTAATGGGGAGATGTGGAGTGCAGTGAGATGAGATGAAAAGGTGAGATTGGGTGAGGAGAAAGAGAAGAACCCGACAAGGAGGATAGAGGGAAGTATATTCCAGCCCTTGCCGATGGTGCCTGAAGAAGAGAGGTCGGGTTCGCCTACGGAAAGGTTGCTCGACCTCCTTCTCATCCTCCGGCAAGACTAGTCTCGCTTTTGCGCAGACTTGTGGTGTTCCTCCCTTCACTGTCAGCTAGGTGAGCATGCCGAAGAAGCCAGATCCGATGACGCTTGCTTCGAGCTTGGAGACTTGGCTGCTGCAATGTAGCTGTAGTTTGCATCGTGAACTCACCACGGCCCCTATTTGCGCTGATTGGCAGTTCCGTGTCTCCTTCAGGGTAGCCAAGATATCTTTTGCTATGCCAAGCTTACTCACCATTGCTTCATGTGGAATGTCACACTCTCTCATTTTGGTTTATAGTATAACTTTGCACGGGTGAGTAGTGGTGGTATGAGGTCCCATTGAGCGAGTACGAGTTAGTGTATGGAAAGGATGGGCGAGGTCGCGCTCGCTATATGACAGGAGGGAATCGTTTCCATCCTCTTGCCAAGCCCGGGTAGTGGTAACTTTTCTCTTTTGAAGTCCCGCTCCCGCTCCCGCTCCTAACCCCCCTCCCCCTTCTCCATTCGACCACTTCCCTTTATCGACTACCAGCCTCGCTCTCGCTCCTCTATAGCAAGATTCAGTAACCGACAAGGCCAGACCCATTGCTCGTCTGACCCACGTCGCTTCACGCTCCTTTGTCCCTCCTCCCATCACCTTTCCCCCTCCTCGTCACCATCTGTCCTTTCCACCACCATTCCACCATACCCCCCAACCCACTCCCCTCTCCACTATTTCGGCTACAGCAAGGGCCTACATCTGACCGGTTCAGACAGTCGTGGCCTCTGCTTGCAGCATCGCTTTCTTTCTATACCACCCCTCCCAACAACCCTCCTTTGAAGCCTACTGGTAGCCTTTTTCTGGATCTCTCGACGACGTTCGCTCTCTCGTCGTTTCTCTCACCCAACCACCAGCACACATAAACAACCCCACCCTCCTCATCGAGCAGTGCTTATGCCCAACATGAAGACCACCTTCATTACCCTCCTCCTGGTCTATCTACCCATCGTCTCCACCGCCTCTCGCGAACCCCATCGTTCGCGTCCTAGTTCCCACCATCACCGTCGCACACGAAACTTTCACGCCGACCCTTACACCCCCTCCACCCCATCCCTCTACTCCCGCGATTCCTTCGGCGATCAACCTCGCCCTCTCCACCGTCGATCCGAACCAGGGGCAGCGATCGCTAAAATCTACACTGCAGTCACGGATAAAGTGTTCGACTATGTCATCGCTGGCGGCGGTACTGCTGGTCTCGCACTTGCTGGACGTCTATCCGAGGATCCTGACGTGACAGTTGCTGTGATTGAAGCTGGCCATTCAGGCTACAACTCTGATTCTGAACTACTTGTGCCTAGCAATGCGTACTTCAAATCGTCTGTAGGTTCGGATCTCGACTGGCAGTACGAGACGGCATTGCAGTCGAAACTTCAGGATGAGAGTGGAAATGCACGAACCGCTAGCTGGCCTCGCGGAAAGGTAATGGGTGGATCTTCGGCTATTAATGGTTTATACTACGTAGCGGCGAGCAAGAGAGAGCATCAAGTGTAGGGGAGGTTGTCTGGGGATGTGGCTACTTGGGGATGGCATTCTTTCCGTGATGCTATGAAGAAGTCCACCGATTTCAGTCCCAACCAAATCAAGGAGCTCGATTCCAGCATAAAAAAGCAGACCAAGTATGTCGGCGACAACGGCCCTGTGGGTGTGACCTACCCAGGCGTTAGTTACCAGCCGGTAGCTGATTGGGTTCCCACTCTTGCAGCGTTGGGTATCGACCATGCAGAGAGCCCTTACAACGGCGACAATCAAGGTGCTTTTATCGCAACGTCAACGATCAACCCTAAGACTTGGGAACGATCTTTCTCTCGTAACGCTTACATCGATCCCATTGTTAACAAGAGAAAGAATTTGGTTGTGCTTCCTAACCAGACCGTTACGAGGATTATTTGGGATACGGAGCTGAATGAGGATGGGAAGCTCCGCGCACTTGGTGTTGAGTTTGCTGCCAACTCTGCCGCTTCTAGGGTGCACGTCACTGCGAGACGAGAGGTGATTCTGTCAGCAGGTGCTATCGGATCACCCCAGATCTTGCAGTTGTCGGGTGTCGGATGCAAAGAGCTTTTGGAGAAGAACAACGTTACCCTGGTCAAAGAGCTTCCTGGAGTCGGTCAGAATCTGCAAGACCATCTTGCTGGTTCAGTCACCTATACCCCCGCCGACGGCCTCGTGCTTCCCTCTGCAACCAACCTCACCCGCAAAGCCTCCTTCTTTGACTCCAGCGTCGCCTACATCACCCTGGAAAAGATGTACGGCACCAACGAAACCGCCAACTTCATCGCCCGCGCTAAAAAGTTGTCCGTCGATTACATCAAAAGCGCCACCAACGTCCCAGCTGCTGTCCGTCGTGGTTGGGCTAAACAGTACAAATACCTACCCGAAGATCTCCTCGTTCCCACCAGCAAGAATGGTTTCACTGGTTCTGCAAAAGGAGCGATGGAGATGCTTCTCGGAATCTCCACTGGCTCTTCCATCACGGTAGAAGCAGCACTTCAAGCTCCATTCTCCCGTGGATGGGTCGAAATCTCCTCCGACAACGCCTTCGATAAACCTATTATCAACCCTAACTATCTCCAACACCAATCTGATGTTGAACTCATGCGATCTGGGTTTCAGCTCGCCCGCAAAATCGGCCAAACCGCACCCCTCTCCAGCCTAGTCAAAGCGGAAGCAGCACCGGGTGCGGAAGTGGATAGCGACGAAGAGTGGGATAAGTTCGTAGCCAAGACGGTGCAGACGGAGTACCACCCAAGTAGCACGTGCAGTATGCTGGATGAGGGCGATGGTGGAGTGGTGGATGAAGAGTTGAGGGTGTATGGTACGAGTAATGTGAGGGTGGTGGATGCTAGTGTGGTGCCGATTTCGTTGAGTAGTCATTTGATGAGTGCGACGTATGCGATTGCGGAGACTGCGGCGGAGTTGATCAAGAGTTGCCCGTACGAAGTTGTGGATGAGTGTGATTGGGATGGTGAGGGAGAGGATGAGGAGGTTAGTGCTAGTGCGGATGGAGCTGAGGAGGAGGATTGCGAGGATGAGGAGTAGATTCCCGGCTTGTGATAGCTTGTACCATTGCTTCCGCTTCGATTTCATACCAATCCTTACCTTTAATTGTTTCAATTCGATCTCACTTGGTACCCCTTTGACTACTTCTCTTGGAGTTTGCTTGCAATCTCATACCTTTGTGCTGGTTGCCGCTGCGCCAGTCGCCTTCATTCTTGGGTGTCACACGGTATGATTAGCTGTGTTGAACGATCGTCAATTCCACGAAGAAATGAATGCAAGAAAGTGGGTGTGATGGGCGGCTCAGCCAGACCCCAAGTTATGATGTTCTATGATTCTACTTGATCTTCCCAAACGTCCTTTCTGCTGTTCTAGTACAGCATCACTGCGAGCACAACGCTCACCACCACCATTGTCGCTCCCGATCCCAACTTCACTGCCTTCACTGATGCAGCTGCAGAAGTACCCTGCCCATCAGCCGTCGAACTCAAATCGACCGTTGCCGGAGTGGAATTAGTAGTCGACCCACCAGCAGCCTTATTATAACCTTTCGGTCTCCATCCTCTCGCAACATCCTTCTGGCTCTTCTCAAACAGCACCGTTCTCCCTTGCCTACTCCCAAACACCTCATCTGCATTATGCGTCGCTCCCTCGACCACCGTCAATGTATGAGCCAATTTCCCACCACTGAGGTTGCTCCAATCGGGTAAGTCTTGAGCAGTGATGTTGCCTGGGAGACCGGAGACATCCTCATTCGTCCTCGCCAAAAGATTGATGTACTTCCACCAAGCTAAGTTCCTGTCCCTTCGTGCAAGACCGCCTTGGAGGATAGCCATGCAGTATTGATCTCCGGATTCGGAGGTATCGTCGTAACCGACGATGTATCGGACATCACGGACGACGTTTTGTGCGAAATATGCTTGCGGGGTCTTAAGACCGTCGAGGGTTCCGGTGAAGTTGTCGAATCCGTATCTCCAGGTGTTGTACAGTGGGCAGGTGGATTTGGATGCGATATCGGCGTTGGTGGTGGGGCGATGGTCAGTGAAGTAAGCGCTGGAGGAAGGATCGCCGGCGATGAAACGAACGGAGAGGGCATTGGCGGACATATCTTTCGCTACGATTCCATATCGATTAATCAACTGTCCACCGCCACCATGTCCTACAAACACCAGCTCTTCCAAACTCGGATAGGCTGTCTGGTTCGAAAAGTGATCAAACAGTGCATCGAGTGCGTCAAAACTCGTCTCTTTAGCACTTTTGGGGTGAATGGCAGCTTCACCCGCTTGCCACGCATTGACATCGTCCCAGGCCAGTTCATGCTTCTCGTACTGCCCCTTATTCAACTTCTCTGAATAGAATTGAGGAGCGACGATGATAGCATTAGGGTCGGCAGAGGCATAGTTGTCCGAGACGGCGGCGTCGACGATCTTGGACATGGTAGTCCAATAGTCGTTGCCGTTACGGTTTCGACCGTGGATCATGATGAATGCTTGTTTAGCAGCCGCATTGTTGGGGTTGCGAGTCCAGTATGTGGCGAGGCTGTGGGAAGAGGTGCCGACAGGGATCGAGGTTAGACGGGAACCGGAGGGTGCACCGGGTTTGGTGTGGATTTCGTAGCCAAGGGATGTGTCTTTGAGACGGGCGGTGTAGGTGGATGCATCGCGACCAAGCAGGTGTGAGTGCCGTTGGTGAGGGAATGGGACGTAGTCGGCGGATACAGTGGATGTGAGAACGGTCAGGGTGGTGAGAAGGGTGGTGAGGGTTGTTATGATTGTTGGGGGGCGCATTGTGGAGATGATGGCAGCATGTGAGAGTGGTGATGGGATATCTGCTCTATGGTGGTGGTAGAGATCAAGCAAAGTCGACAGCCTCTTTAAGGAAGGCGAAGATGAAGCGGACTCGACGAGCTTTGTGCAAGGGGAGAGTATGATGATGGTGATGGTGATAACGAAACAAAGGAAGGTCGGATAGTTGACTAGGGTCAGCACTGCTCTCTGTCTGTAACGAGGGCAAGAAGCAACACACAACACTTCCCGAAGCAAAGGAGCAAAAGGAACATGACATCAAAGGACCGTCGGGGATCAAGCATCACTTTAAGTGAGCCCTTCACATCGCCCTTCTTTTGGGAATTGTCACGCGAATCCCCTCCTTCGACCGAAGGGTACAGCAGGGGGGGGGGGGGGGTTACGCAGCACAAGCAGAGCAGAGCACGCGGTCAGCAACGCTCTTCATGCGCCGAGGCAAGGATGGTAGTAAGTTGTACCGAAATTTGCCAACAACAACGAAAGGCATGCCAGCAGCTGTGCCAAGAGCTGAACCGGGGGCTTGCATGAAGCAATGCGAATCATGAGCCGAGTCGGTTCGGGAAGGAACAAGAAGAGAGCGAGCGGCGTACTCGAAGCTTCCCTTTTGCCCTCACAAGACAATGCCCCTCGTGTCTGGATTAGTCGCCGTTCTCTTTTCTTCTCCATAGTCTTTCCTATTCTTCCTCTTTCTTCTCTTGTTTCATTCCTGCTAAAACAAAGCTAGGTTGAAAAGATAAGGAGAGGGGAAGGAGGAGGAGCCTGGCGAGTGAAACAAACACCGGCCCGTTGTTGACCGTGTCGATCATCTTGTGCCAGCTGGGTTTGAACTTGGCTCGGAAAAGACCGAGCGCTCTCTTTGCTGGCGACGATGCGGTTCATTTGCAGCCAAACCCCCAAAATTGCATTTTTTTAAATAAAAAATGCCAAGTCTGATGCGAACTAGTTTTTGACCGCACATGAAGAGGGAGCAGGACGGCTCGGAGAATGAGTTGGCTTGGCATGCGACTTGCGCCTTTCCCCTCCCCCCCTTCCTCCTCACCCTCTCCCTTTTTGTATATGTTATAAGGGTGTTTGGGTTTTGCTTTGCAGTTCCGTTCCGTCATGCGACAGTCATCGAAAAGTGACAAAGGGAACGAGGATAATCGGGCCAAGGGAAGGCTCTCGGCCAGGAACCTCGCTTGATCGGAGGAGGAAACTTCTCTTTTGCCGCTCGTCGATCTCTTGCTGTGTTTGGCAAATTGCAAATTCAACCCTGGTCAAACACACACGACAGTTGTTGCCGCTCGGCATTTGTCTCCACACCTTCGACACACTTACGATGATCGGAGTCAAAGAGTTTTGCCGCCGGGGAGGCTGAGGCCTGGTGTTGTTCATTGCTGTAAGAAAGCAGGTGGAAGCTCTAACATGCTCCAAAACTCGCCAATGTTTTGGGTGGTTGGGTTGAATGCGAATGGAGATGTGTTGAATCCTCCTGCAGTTGCTGCATTGGTGTTGTTCTGCGATACAGGCACAGGTGGCGCAGCGTTGCTCTGCTGCATCGCATTACTCCGTGCATGCTGTTGCTGCGGTTGTGCGAGGCGTGGTTGCTGTGTATAGCCGTCCCCTGATGGATACGGCATTGCCTGTGCGTTGGGTTGCATTGCAACGCCAGCGCCGAGAGAAAAGTTATTGAGATCGAATCCATAAGCCATGTTCTGCTGAGGCAACCCTTGCTGCTGTTGCTGTGGAAGCACCGTGTTAGGCGGAAGAGAGTTGAAGTTCGTACCCATCAGATTGGAAGCAGAGGCCGCATTCTCGTTCCAGAAGAACGATTCGACGTCAAAGATGCCTGGTGCGAAGTCAACCGACGGCATACCACCGACATTCGACTGGTTGCCTGCAAACCCGAGACTTACTCCATCAGCGAACCCTTGCATCGGTAGAGCTGCCTCGACAACATCACCATTACCATTATCCTGACCCTCTCCCTTCTCAGCATTACCACCGCGTTTGCCTCCTTCACCTCGTCCCGACTTTTTCGCCTCAGCATCACCGATCGACGCCTCCGTCTCCGCAATCCAACTCGAAACCTTGGCCACCCCACCCCCAACCCGCACCGCACTCCCTCTCCTCCCTCCCTCCACCCGCGCACCCTGCTTCGACGCATCCTCACCAACAACCGCAAATCCATCCAACAACAACCTGTGCGCCGATGCAGCAGGCCATGTATCAGCTAACTTCTTCAACCACTGCATACACAATCCATACCTTCTCCTTGCATCCACCGCGATCTTGCCATCCGGCAGCCTTGCATTGAACACAAACATCACCGCCGCCGTAAACAGACAGTATCCCAGATCTGTCGATAACCTATCGACGATATCTCTAGACGTCGCTTCGAGTAAATCGCAGATGGTGTTGGCTGCGAGTGTTGATTGTCGATGAGAATCATTTTCGAGAACTTTTGACATGGATAGACCTTCTTCTTGAGGAATGAAAGGACGATGGAGGAGGAGTCGAGCGGTATAGTACCATAGGTTGAGGGCGAAGAAGGAAGGGAATGGTCCATCTTGTGTTCGGTCATCGTCGAGATGGAGGTGAGGGGGGAGTTTGAGTTTCCATTCTGTAAGTTGTCCGTCGAGGTCGGTTCGGACTTGTTCTTTGCCTTGTTTTCTCAGCAAAGCTTTGCGTCGAAGGGAGTGAACTTCATCGAGGATGCGTTCGACGATCTTAAATAGATGCACGCCCCAATTTAAACATGATGGAGCATGCAATCGTCGAGGAGCCGAACCAGAGGTGGCTGTAGCACGCCTTGCCCCACCTTGATCTACGTGTTGCATCTCAGTCTGATCCGACCACAACTCAAACTCATCCTCTTCCGCCTCTGACAATAGTGGCACATCAATATCCTTGGCCCTCAACCCCACCGGTCTCCCCATCTCTGCACATAACAGCTTATCCACAATATAACAATGCCATATAATCCTTATCCTCGTCTCCCTCTGCACACGATCTTGTACGATCTCAGGTCGATAGATCGGCCAGCGATGCAAACCCATATCGACCGCCATCGAGCTAGCTAAGTTGGAGAAGTTCCATGCTCTTGAAAGATCCCCTGTTCCATGAGAGTAGAGGCTGAGCAGCCAACAAGTTTGAATCGAAGCTATATCCGGTCGCAATCCTTTGGCGAGGACATGTCGTTCAGCTGCCCGACAGAAAGACTGCACTCGGTCAAGGTTAAGTTTGTGAAGCGACGGTTCGCTATCACTCGCAGTGTTAAAGGCAGAGGCGTTGCCAGGGACAACGCAAGCGGCGATCGCGTAGATAGCATAGAGTAAGCTCGAATCGAGGTTCGATCGAAGTTCTTCCCGCGAGAAGGTGACGAACCAGGGCTTGTACAGGATAGGGTAGAACGGATGAAATCCTTGCCAATAGTAGCGGAAGAGACGGTCGGTTTCTTGGTCTGACACGACCGGATCTTCAGTGGTGGTGCCAGTGGATGGACGACCATCGCGGCTAGAGCCAGGGTAGAGGCTTTGTAAATTGGCTGCGTCTTTGCGAGGTGTGAGACCTGATGGGCGTGGAGAACGGTCTTGTTGTGAGCTTGTTGTTTCTGCATCACCGACAGGTCGTGGCGACGAGATAGGTAGAAAGACAGGGGGCTTTACGTCTACTGGACCTCGATCATCACCAGATCGTCCACCGAAGGGCGCTGAGGAGCTCGAAGCGACTGATCGTGTAGCACCAATACCGATAGCTGCAGAAGGTGACTCGGCGCGATGTTGACGTTGCAAGATTCCAATGCCTGAGCTAGATCCACGATAGACCAGTTCACCTTGACGAGTTTCACCAATTACATCTTCCTCCGCTTCTGCTGCTGGATCATCAGCTTCGCTATCAGAATGCCTTGCATTGCCAAAGGAAGTAGATGAGGTAGAGGTGAGATGCTCGATCTTGATCCTTGCAGCTGACCTATCCTCAGCCATAGCCGGGCGACGGCTTCCCTTGGCTCCATCGCCTGGATCAGGCTTCTTCTCCGTCTTTGTATCAGCAATACTCAGCTCTCTGTGTGCAGAAACACGGAGAATCTGTGCACCAGCATCCTCCTTTCCCAAATGATTCACCAAGTCACGAATGGTAGTCTCCAGCGTACGAATAAGCTTGGCCTTCGCCGACTCTTTCGGACTGGAACGAAAGCCTTTGGGCGGCCCACGTTTCAACCCTGTATGATTGTACGTGCATGGAGTACGCAATACTTGACAGACGGAGCATTCGGGTTGTCGACCATCGCATTTACGCTTCTTGGCGCTGCAGGGTTGGCAAGCTTTTGCAACTCGAGTGGATGGTTTCGAGTCTATGTTGCTGGTGTCTGCCTCGGGTGTGTTGGCCGATGCAATCTTCGGGTTCAGTGCTGGAGAGCGAGAAGAAGCTGGGATGGCGGGCGAGTCGTTGGACTGTTTGCGACGTTTGGATGCTGAGGTACCGCTTTGCGGCGATGTATCCGGGGGGTCGATGGATGTGCGAGGTGCTGAATGGCCAGAGGATGAGGTGGGGTAATGGTCGTGTCCGCTCCTCTTGGAGTTATGGTCGCCGAAAGCTTCGGGACTGGAAGCGTTGGAGGCACTGCGATACGCGTGTGATGTGCGTCCTGTTGTTGAGTATAGTGGTGTGGATCGAGGTGAGGGTGAGTATGAGGCGTGTTCTGGATGCTGAAGTTGGTGCGCCGCTGAGCGGTATGGATGGGAAGAGGAAGGCATTGTGAAGAGCCCTGTTGACAGGCAATACTCTGTGGAGCTGCTTGGTCCGCTAAATAGTCTCGGCGCGAGACTCGAATGCAACGATCGGGGGGAGGCCGCAGAGTTTGGCGTGGTTGTATGTCCTGCGTTCAGCTTTGCATCCTGGGCTGAGTTGCGCTATCAATCGAGTTGGAAAGTCGATCTAGAAAGACAAGCATCAGACTACCAGGCGTAGAGGCGCAAGGTGGTGCGACGATGAGGTTGATAGAGTCGAGCGTATTGCTTGACGAGCCAACCAGATGCTGGTGCTTGTTGCGGGTAGCGATGATGGTCTTGACGATAGATGAAAAGGTGGCCAGACGGCCTTGGAAATTCTGATACTCGCTTGTTTTTCAGGCTTCTCACTTTTCCTTTCTTGCAGCTTGCCCCCACCCACTCTCAACACTTGGTTGCCATTGATCTTCCACAGCCGGATCAACACCCACATCGTTTGATGCTATCTTCAGGAACTTCTCCCTCCAAGTAAATTTTTTTTTTTTTTTTTTGAAGCAAGTCGCTTTGGTATTGCAAAGCATTCTCGGACACAAGAAGAAGGGATTCGGCTTTTATCGCTCTCTTATCGGATAAGTTAGGCTCGATGAGTAGGGATGGCTGAGGGGAAACACACAGAGCGCTGAAAAAGGGTCCACAGCAACCGCCTAAGAGCGTTTATGCGAACCCGATCGATCGGGGTGGCCTCCATGAAAAGGCCGATGACACCGATCCTTATTGCTGTCGAACATCGCAAACCTCTCGTCAAGAAAGGATCGTTGAGACATCTTGACAGAAGTCGTTGTCTTGATCAACCTCGAAGTACGCCGTGATGGTCACCTCGACCCGATCGAATGCCCGAATAGCCCACGTGAGATCCGAGTCGGCATTCTTGATCGTAAAACTCTTGAGACCAGGGGTGGTTGGGGGGAAAGGAGTCGACTAGTCGAGAGCGGCAGTCTATATACACCCACGACCGAAGGATCGAAGAGTGCGGAAAGGTTGACTACGACTTCACTGCTTGCAGCAGCCTTCCGCTTCCGCACTCTGGGAAGCTCAGACGGAGCATTGCGTGCTTAATCTGTGACCCCTCTATCAACACGTAGAGGTACATCTCTCAATCCTCAGCTTGAAGCATCTGTGAGAGCTCCTCGGACGGAGTCAGATGCTCCATATCAGTATGGCCGATATCTCTTGTCGTGGAATCCGCACCCAGGCGTGACGAGGCGAGGCAGAAAGCTATGCCGAACAAGTTGCGGAAAGCCTTAGCTGACGGTTATCCCTTTCCGCACCCGCCTATGAGCGGAACCTGGCCAAGCTTCCGTGCCGAGGCTGACATCCCTTCAGCTTATGAAAGCTTGACAAGAGCCTCACGCTCCTTGCAGAACGGAAGCACCTCTACACCAATCACTTCACCCGCTCCTCTTTGGAACGGCGATGCCGTCTCAAGCTGTCCCGCTCTCATCGCCGCCTCACAACAAACCACAGCTCAGCTCTCATCTGCGTCTCTCAGCGGACCGCACCCAAATCAACCACTTGACGCATAACAACATCATCATTCTTTAAACCCAGACCTAAATCTACAGCGTATATCTAAACAACGGACTGCTGTCCCCAATCGGCGCCTTCGTCTTCCCCTCCCTGACCAACCTTTCCCATTCCTCCCAATTCCCCTCTCTCTTCCCCTCCCTCCTCGCCTTGTTTTCACTCCAACACCACCGCATGTCCTTCCACATGCCTCGGTGCCCATTTCTCCTGATATATGAACGTAGCCACAAATCCAGCTAGATTCGCGATCATCAACTGCAACGCGTTTACCAGACAGATGAGGAATGTTGCACCATATTTTGTACGCGGGTTTGAGGTGGCGAGGAGGAGGATGTATCCTATCATTGATAGGGGGAGGAAGGAGAGGATGTAGGGTCGGCGGAGACGTGTTGGGGGAGCGGGAGGAGGAGGAACCGGCGATCTAATCGGTCAAAATAAAAGCAATGCCGGCTAAAGTGCCGCTTTGCCGCCCTTTTACCAGCGGAAGGGCAAGAAAATTTTACAGTTGGCCTCGGCTGTCAAACAGCAACGCCCTGTGCCGGGTAGCTTTTGCCCACCCTCGATGCTGTCATTGATTTGAGGCACGGTCAGCTGAACGTATAGCACCGTTTGTGCCAGGAAGGCGACCTACCTATCCATGTCAATGATGAAAGGTTCGCAACAAGGAATGAAGACGTCGGAAGAAATGTCGAATGACTCTTCTGTACTGTGTCGGAGTTTCGTGAGCCGGTTCTATACTTTGCAGGATCGAGCCCGCGCTTTGCATTGTGGCCTCCACTGTCCAACGGTATCGGTTTGAGTTGGCCGACGTTTCGACAAGGCGGGAACGACTTTGTGAGCATGGACTGCTGTGCAGGATTACAACTCATCGCCTCGCCAACCAGCTTTGATGGTCTTCCCAGGGTGAGCACAGCGAAGCAATCATGCAACCTTCAGCTCTCTACCAGGTCCAAACCGCTGTGCTGAGCAACGAATCACAGCCGAAAGCTCAAGCACAACCATCGTCCACAAGACCAAACCTGAAGACGGACTCTCTACTGAAATTGCAAATAAAACTGAAACGAAGCGGATTCTATGCTGCATCTATCGACGTTTCGACTTCTTCTTCTTCTGCCCTTTGGTCGTCTGCTGCAACTTGTCCGTCTCCCTCCCCACCACCTCAGCCGCTAGCCCCTCGACTGGCTCATCCATTTCATCCTCATAACTACTCTCTGCATCACTCCTACTATCAACCGCACCGGCCTTCGTCACCACCCTATAAGCCACTCTACAAATCATATAAAACCACATCAACAATATCACCTGCAATGCACACAGTAACACCACCAACACCCTATGCGCTGTCTTTGTAAAAAAGTCCCCTGTTAGATGATTTGTTGGCTTAAAAGTCATAGCCTTGACTGGGTCGAAAACGCAACTCCAAACCACTCGGATATACAGCAAATGCCTTGTTACTAACCAACTGAGCATGAACAGACCAAATGCAATGTCGCATGTTGTTTGCCATCCTGCATACTTTAGCATCTTGGCAATGTTTAGTGCAATATCGCTCGGGTCCATCAAACAGAGGATCGCATTGCCGACCTTGTGGAAGCTGCAGATATAACTGCCGGAGATGAGAGCGATCGTTATGACGTGATGAGAAAACATCTGCCAGTGGTCCGAACGCTTCGCTTCGAGGTGAAGGACGAATAGTTGTTGGATGTAAAACGCACAGGAGGCGAGGTAGTAAAATTTGAACAAAGGTTCGAGGCGGAATTGCGGATAGTGTGTCCAGTATTCGATCGTGTTAAAAGGCCAATAAGGTTGAGAGGAAGCGACATAGAGGCCGAGAGACCAGGAGAAAGAGTAGTAGATGAGGGAGAAGCCCTGTTCTGCGAATCGAAGGACTTCCTTTTCGCGATTGCGGAGAAGTTTCGCCCGTTCGGCGATGGAGTCAGGGGAGGAAGAGGTGCGAGTTTTGCGGGACTCGGAAAGGTGTGGCACTGCGATTTCGCCAAGGGGTAGGAGGAGATATTTCATGAGAAGAGCTCGAGCGAGGGTGAAGAGTAGGACTAGGGTTGCGACGAAGAGTGCATCTTTCAATCCTCGCTCGTACAAGTAGCCTGGCAAGCCATAGAGGAGAGCCCATGGAGCAGCGCGGACCGAGTGTGGGAGGGAGTCGTGCTTCAATGCAGCAATGGGCGAAGAAAGGGCATCGGGTACAGGGTAAGAGAGCCCCAAGCAAGCGCGTGTGAAGTTGTGCAATGCTGTAAGAGGGTGTCCAAACCCACGAGCTTCGCTGCGGAAGGGGCCGAGACTGCTTGCTTCACCGACGAGATTGGACCAGAGTTGGTGTGCACCTCGTTCGGAAGCGTTGGGTAGGTCGGATGCAAATTGTGCAAGGGAGGGCAATCTGAGCCATGATGGAATGATGGAGTGGAGTGAAGAAGGTAGATGCAAGTGGGAGGAGAGATGTGCTAGGGAGAGAGAAGACGGAGAAGAGAGTGTGTGCATGACAAGGAGTGCGATGAGCCCATTAAAAGTGTATTGAATTTGTGTGGTGAGGGACTCTTCGGCTGCTCTTCGGGTTGCAGACCATTCTCTGGATCTAAACGATGCTTTGGAGAGATAGCCTTTGGAGAAGGGCTTTTTTAAAGCCGATGATGCCATGGCGGAGGACGGCGACTGTGATGCTGCTGCCTTGGCCATCGTAGTGTGTGTGTGTGTCTAGGGTTGCTGCTGATATGCTGTTGAGAAGAGATCGCTCGGCGTGGTAGAAGATGGGGCGTGGTGATGGAGATGGTGGTGTAAAGGGTGAGATGGCTGCTGACGGTTTACTGAGGCAGGAGGCGGGCGAGGCTGGGTGGAATGAACGCCAGCAAATTCGATATGAAGTTGGTTGAAAAGTGATGCAAAGATGGTGGGTATTTGTCCACAAAAGCTCGGGTGCAACGCCAGACAAGTTGCCAATATGAAGTATTGGTTGCGTGCGAGAGAGATGTACTCGGAGGGGTGATTGGGATCGGTGGTGAGTGATGCTGATGGTGGCGGTGGCGGTGGCGGTGGAGGAAGGAGCAAGTGGATAACGAACAACAAGGAGAAGAAGAGATCTATCCTTTGGTTGGCTCCGAGAGAAAGGAGGCCTAAAAAAGAACGTGGTCAGAGTTTAACAGCAGAAGAACAAGAAGAAAAAGAAAACGCGCCCTCCTTTCGCCTCGTCCCCAGTTGAAGCATGTGACCTCTCGGAGTATGTAACTTCTACACCGAGCTCACATCTAAATGCCAACCTTGCTTACTCAGGTTTAGTGCATTACCCAGACCAACTGTCAGACATCAAGACACCAGCCAATAGACAGCCAGTGTAGTTTCTCTGTAGTTCCACAACCATGTCTTCAACCTCAACACCCTAGTACCATACATGCATACAAGGAGCATTGAGACATATATATACACTCGGATCATCTTGTACTTAGCACGCACCCATCATCACAATCGACACCTGTGATCATTGACATTTGATGCACACCCTTCAACAGATTAAGAGTCTGACTGTTCTTGCTGTAGGATCATCGTGCAAGCGGTCATGCACCGGAAACCAGGTTTGGTGTTTCCAGTTGATATTGGTGAAATCAACCAAGTAAGCTCTGTTTGGTATGTTTTGGTGAAAGTAACCAGACAGCTGAGTTCTGGTAGGTTTTGACTGACCACCTTGAACACTCTGTTCAGAGGCTATGCAGCACATCCAAAGAACTAGATTGGGAATGCTATATGATGCAGCCTCCCATATCAGCATGAGTGTTTGTAGTGCTGTTTGTTGCTTGATGGTATTTGTTGGTGTCTGGACTGCAGTAAGGTTATCACCTGCAGATGAGGGAGGTACTGGACTGCAGGTGTTATACACTGCCTTCAGTGAGAGACTGGACCACAAGTGTTGAAGAACACCACCTACAGTTGATGTCCAACTGTGATACAACACACATGTTCGAGATGTCATTGCAAAGCCCTGTGTCATAGGACCAGATGCGCAGGGGGAACTGGGATCATATGAGGAGATACCATGTGTCAAAGGTTGCGCACCTGAAACCTGAAATCTGTAGTAGAAAGACAACTACTACTTATCACAGGACCTGCACAGGAGATCGGGTCGGTGCAGGAAGATCTGAGATGAAGATGAAGATGTGGTGTGCCCAGGAAAAGGCACATGAAATGTGACATCAACTGTAAGATGGGTTTCCGGTTGATTTCAGGGAAATCAACCATGATGGGGGTTTCTGATTGGTTTTGCTGAAATCGAGCAGAACATGCTCATCTGGTTGATTTCACCAAAGCATGTCACACAAAGCCCCATTGGTATGGAACAGACCAACAGGACACAAGGAGGCAACAGGAGACTTGGTAGGGAAGGCCTCCATCATCAAAGGTAGGATAGGGCACAAGGAAGGGTCTCACATGCTAAAGGGGGTCTGAGTTTAGCCAAGAAGAGGACCAAGCTCAGGAGCAAGCAGCAGGTTACCACATAGGGGGATGTGCTCTTGATTGCATAAGGGTCAGTCACAAGGTAGACCACATGGACAAGAACAAGACAATAAGGATGGTCACATGGTCAGAGAGGGCCATCAGATAGGGGCCAAGGAATGACCATGGATTGAGGGGAGAGGGAGTCGGACCAAGAGGGTTGGCATTGGTACTGTCACAGGGCCAGCGCAAGAAGGGTGTGCCAAATTGACCGACAGCATTCATGGTAATGTCACACAGGATCAGCAGATCAACATATGAAGGGTGTGCCAAGTTGATCAGTGCCAAATCATTGGGGATCGACGGAGCTAATTGGGCTGGTAGCACATATGATTTACAAGATCAACCAAACTCTGGGTTCCAGGTTAATCTCATGAGGATCAATCAGAATCAGCCAGATCAGCATGCCTCAGCAAGTCAGCCGATACAAGCAAGTACCAGGAGATTCAGGAAGGAAGGTACTGGCATAAGAAGGAGAAGCATATGGAGATAACCACATGTAGGAGTGGGGGACCAAGCTCAGCATCATGCAGATGGTTACTGCTCAAGGGGTGCATGTGTATAGCCACACAGGACCAAGCACAGGGGGTGACTGCATGACCAAGGGGTTTGGTCACAAGGTCCAACAGGTGGCTAAGGGGATTCACAAGATAAGGATGGGAAGGTGGTCACCAGTGAAGAGAGAAGGAAATGGTGAATGGATTGGTTAAACAAAGAGGAGGAGCTGTGTTGAAGGGGTTGTCACACCTCATCAAGCAGAAAGGGAGCATGAAGGCAAAAGGGCAGTGTTGCATAACCATTACACTGTGCAGATGGTAGGGGTGCAGCATCAATGGGATTGATGCCAGCAGGAGAGACATGTCAGGGGTCTCGCGCCTGAAACCCAGGTCGGTCTGTCGAGATACTTGGTGACTATCAAGTTGTGCAACAGCTATTGTCTCAGTATCAGTCTCGACAAGCTAGTTGTTCGGTGACTATCAAGTTGCACAATGACAGTGGGTGGCATTTGTTGTATATACTATCGTAGGTTTCAGCTGGCCTCTGTGGAAACTCTGTTCAGGGGTAGCTCAGCACGATCAATATCAATACATAGGTTGTGATGACACCAAGGTCTGGTGTGAGTGTTGATGATGATGAGGTCAATGGTGTTGGTGATTGTCAGGGGTCTCGCGCCTGAAACCCAGGTCGGACTGTCGAGATACTTGGTGACTATCAAACTGTGCGACAGCTATTGTCTCGGTATTGGTGTTGATGAGCTAGTTGCTTGGCGACTATCAAGTTGCGCAATGACAGCGGGTGGCATTCGTTGTATATACTATCATAGGTTTCAGCTGGCCTCTGTGGACACTGCATTCAGGGGTAGCTCAGCACGATCAATATCAATGCATAGGTTATGATGACACCAAGGTCTGGTGTGAGTGTTGCTGATGACAAGGTTGATGGTGTCAGTGATAAGGTTGGTGAGTGTTGATGATAATGAGGTTGATGGTGTTGGTGATAAGGTTGGTGGTGTCAACATGAGTGTCCAGTGTGTTGACTGATGCTTGAGGTGATCCCCAGACTGCAGTGGACTACTGCCTTCGGTTCTACCTTGATCCAGACTGCTAACCTGCTATGGGGCGCCTTCAGATGTCAGGTAGTGGTGATACAACACACACACTATGATGAGGAGCAACCTTGATAGATTGCTGCTATGCTGACTGAAACTAATATATACTTATGCTGAAGTGATAACTAGTTATGGTGAGTAGAGTGGATGAGGATCCACTCAACCTATGATGATGAGAAAGCATGGTTATATACCTCTTCACAGCATCGCCAGCGATGCTGCTCCTGCTCTCTCTCCAGAGAGTACCTTCTTCATCGAGTGCTGTTCAGGGGCCTCTCCTGCTTGGCACCCCTGTGTCTCTTGAGTGGTGTCGACTCCTTCGACACTGCTCCTCCTCCTCATGACCTGGTGTCGACTCCTTCGACACTGCTCCTCTTCCTTTGACCAGTGACAGTTCCTTTGACTCTTGTCTCTCGAGCCCCTGAGTGGTAACCATCTGCATGCTCCTTGAGCTTGCTCCCCTTCGTGGCTGTGCCTGCTCTGTGAGCTTGGTCCTCCTCATGGCTGTGCCTGGCCTTCCTCGCATATGACTCAGTGCTCCTTTGCATGTGAGTCCATAGGAGTCCATGGTCTCCATGGAGACTGCACTACGACCATGCTCTCTACTGGTATCGACTAGATCTTCGATACCTGTGCTCCTTCCATATGAACCAGTGACCCTCCTGCTTCTTGAGCATCCAGGCCCATGACAGTCACCATCCATTTGTACATATCAAGAATGTTCTGTTTGTTTCTCTGCTAATGCAAGCAAGGTGGTGTTTGAGTTAACTGGTATGATCCAAGATCACCCAGCTTGAATACTCACCAACACTGGCACAGGCCTATCCATAGTTTCAGAATCTTTTGTCCATAAGTACCACTTAAACACAAAACCAACAAAAACATGATCCGTACATGGTGTCACCAGACACCAACTTGCCATTAACAGCTCTGCTATGGTGCAGGTAGTTATTGGAAAACACAAACTAGGGGCAGTGGAGGCATCAGTAGCTGACACCACTGAGTATGACCTCATTTTGGGTTTCTCAGAACTGAAAAGGTTGAGACCAACAATCCAGTGGGATACTGGCCAACTCAAATTCAAGACCCAAACTCAGAAGGACCAACCAGAAGAGTCAGGAGCCCTATGACAGGCACCCCTGAAGATAAACAAAAGGGATCCCCCTGATAAGAACTATAAGTCTATTAAACTTCATGGACATGAGTTCATATCAGTGGAATGACTGATCCAAGCAGCTTTGGAGGATGGCCCTATTGGGTTCATGCTGCTAGACACTCTGCCCTCATCTCTCCTGGCATTTGGATTTGTGCCTACTGGAGCTGATTGAGGGGTAGAGATGGAGGTAGAGGCAGATAAACCAGTTACAGTCAAGGACATACCAAAACTATACTGACACCTATGAGAGGTGTTTTACAAGGTGGAAGCAGACAAGCTACCACCACACATGGAGCACAATCTATGGCTTGAACTGGCTGAAAATGGTAAGCCCCCTCAAGGACCATTATATCTCAAGGGACCAAAGGAAATGGCCAAATTACACAAGTATCTTGATGAAAATCTAGCCAAAGGTTTCATATGGCCATCGAAAAGCCCTGCAAGATCACCAGTGCTCTTTGTACCTAAGAAGGATGGAGGGTTATGACACTGTGTCAATTACAGGGGTCTGAATGAAATCATGATCAAGAACTGAGCACCATTGCCACTAATCAATGAGCAGTTGTTCCTCCTACACAAGGCACAGATATATTCAAAATTGGATCTCAAGGCAGCATATAACCTTATCCATATTGCAGATGGAGATGAATGGAAGACAGCATTTGGCACCCAGCTGGGTCTTTATGAGTATTTGGTGATGCCATTCAGCCTAGCTAATGCTCCTGCCCACTTCCAGTCATTCATCAACCACATCTTCTGTGATATTATTGGAATATATGTGGTGGTATACCTGGATGACTTCCTAATCTTTAGTGACATGAAGGAGGAACATATCATGCACATTACTGAGATTCTGACATGCTTGAAGAAGCATCAACTATTCACCAAGCTGTCAAAATGTGAATTCCATACAGACACCATTGAATTCTTAGGGTATATCATAAAACCCACAGGGATAGAAATGGACCCAGACAAAGTACAAATGGTTACAGAATGGCTGATACTGGAGTCAATTCATGACATCCAGCACTTCCTGGGCTTTGCAAACTTCTACCAGAGGTTCATAGCCCATTTTGCATGCATTGCGAAACTGCTTACATCATTAGTAAAGCCCACAGAGCAATTCAAGAAGTTCAAGTTACCCAAGGATGCCAAGCAGGCTTTTCACAAGCTCATCCAATCATTTATGACAGCTGGGGTGTTGAAGCACTTCGACTATCACTTGCTGACCCAGCTAGAGATGGATGCAAGTGACTTTGCCATTGCTTGGGTATTAAAACAAGAACATGAAGGATGCTGGCATCCAGTAGCATACTATTCTCACAAGATGGCATCAGCAGAAAAGAATTATGAGATACATGATAAAGAGCTCCTAGCAGTTGTGGCATGCCTCACCCAGTGGCACCACATGTTAGCTGGACTACCCAATCAGCTTGTCATTCTTACAGATCATGAAGCTCTCAAATACTTTAAGTCCCAACATTGTATTACTGGAAGACAAGCTAGATGGGCAGTATTGTTGGTCAATTTTGATTTCATGCTACAATATTGTCCAGGCAATAAGGCTGGAGAACCAGATGCATTAACTCAGAGGAGGGACATGCAACCCATTGGGGAGGAACAGGAACACAATGTGCAGCAGTTACTACCACCTGTCAGCGGTCGTGTACCTGGAACCCGAGAATTACCGGTCTGGGTGATTTCAGCCAATTTCAGTGAGCATGCTTGAGGATGCACCTATCAGCCAATTTCACTGAAACTGCTTGAAGGCTGTTTGTTTGATGGGTTTCAGCTAACTGCTGTGAACACTCCATTCAGTGGTAGCACAGCACAGTCAGTTCCAGCTTGTTGCAGAACCCTTAGTGTAGGAATGAGGTTTGTCCACTTC